TATATATGGGGGGGCCATTATGTAGGGAGAGTTCCATTATATGGGGGGGTGTCTGTTATATATGGGGGGCCATTATATGGGGGGGTCCATTATAGGGGGGCTCTATTATATAGGGGGGGTGTCTGTTATATATGGGGGGGCATTATATGGGGGGTCCATTATGGGGGGGCTCTTATATAGGGGGGGTGTCTGTTATATATGGGGGGGCCATTATATAGGGAGGGTTCCATTATGGGGGGGGGTGTCTGTTATATATGGGGGGCCATTATATAGGGGGGTCCATTATAGGGGGGCTCTATTATATAGGGGGGGTGTCTGTTATATATGGGGGGGCCATTATATAGGGAGAGTTCCATTATATGGGGGGGTGTCTGTTATATATGGGGGGGCATTATATGGGGGGGTCCATTATAGGGGGGCTCTGTTATATAGGGGGGGTGTCTTGTTATATATGGGGGCCATTATATAGGGAGGGTTCCATTAAGGGGGGGGTGTCTATTGTATAGGGGGGGTCCATTATATAGGGGGGGGTGTCTATTATGTAGAGGGGTGTCTATTGTATAGGGGGGGTCCATTGTATAGGGAGGGTTCCATTATATAGGACGGGGTGTTTATTATATAGGGGGGGTCCATTATATGGGGAGCTGTCTATTATATAGAGAGAGTTCCATTATATGGGGGGGGTGTCTGTTATATAGGGAGGGTTCCATTATATAGGAGGGGGTATTTATTATATAGGGGGGTGTCTGTTATATAGGGGGTCCATTACATAGAGAGGGTTCCATTATATGGGGGGGTGTCTATTATATAGGGGGGCCTATTTATGGGGGGGTCCATTATATAGGGGGGGTGTCTGTTATATAGGGGGTCCATTACATAGAGAGGGTTCCATTATATGGGGGGGTGTCTATTATATAGGGGGGCCTATTTATGGGGGGGGTCCATTATATAGGGGGGGTGTCTGTTATATAGGGACGGTTCCATTATATAGGGGGGGATGTCTATTATATGGGAGGGGGCTATTATATAGGGAGGGTCCATTATATGGGGGGGGGTGTCTGTTATATAGGGAGGGTTCCATTATATGGTGGGGGGGTGTCTGTTATATAGGGAGGGTTCCATTATATGGTGGGGGGGTGTCTATTCTATAGGGGGGTGGTATCATGAAGCGGTTCCGGTACCCGGGGGGGGGGGGGTGGTTTCCGGTACCGATGTTGTGCTTCCTGTAAGGGGGTGGGGGGGGGATCGGCTCCGGCCGTGTCCCCTTGAGTCTCCTTGTACCGGGGGGGTGCAGCTCTGCCCTTCCCAGAGCCATTTTCCACCTTTTTTATCCCAAATTCCCTTCCCGTCCCCCCCCCGGCGCCATTTGGAACCTGCGGGAGCCGGGAAGTGCCCAAATTCCCCCTTTTCCAGCCCAAATCGCTGCGGTTCTGGGGCGGAATCGCGGGCTCATCCGGGCTGGGAAATCATGGAAAGGGTTGGGATGAAGGGAGCTCAGAGCTGCTCCAGTCCCAAGCCCTGCCATGGGGTGCTCCGAGCCCTGTGTCCGCCCCGGATGGGATGGGATGGGATGGAGCAGCCATGGAGCCCATCCCGGTGTCCCAATAGGGAAGAGCTTCCCTGGATCCAACCTTGATCCCCCCCCCCGTTCCAACCTGAACCCCTCACCCCCTGTCCCATGGCTCCAGCCCCGGGGGCAGGGCCCTCCCCAGCATCCTCGTGGCCCCCTCTGCACCCCCAAGGCCCCCGTGCCCCCCGGTTGCTTGCACAATTCCAGGGATGCGGATCCCGGCTCTTCCCCTGTTCCGATGCCTGAGCCCCCTCTGGGGCAGGGCCTGGTGCTCAGCTCCATCCAGACCTGCCCTGCTCCATCCCCCTTTGAGGACCCACGAGGCCCATTCCAACCTGGATCCCGGGATTCCTTCCCGGGAGCTGTGGTTCCCCCCTGAGCCCGTTCCTTGTGGGATTTGTGCTCCAGGGCCCTGAGGGATTATCCCATCCCTCATCCCGCTGGCCACGCTCTTCCCAACCCAGACCAGGATGCCCTTGGATCCCAACCCCATCCCAAAGCCTGGAGCGTTGCCTGGGATCCCAGAGGAGGAGATGGGGGGGGGGCCTCTGAGCTCCTGGGGGAATTTGGGCACGGATCAGGATTGGTTTTATCCGGGATCGATGTTGTCTTTCCATGAGCTTCCCGTTGGGAAACACAGCTTGGGCTGTGCCAAAGGGCCGGTGGGATGTATGGATTCCGCCTATGGATCGGTTGGGAAGACTGGGGGGGAGCTCCAGGGGCTGCGATTCCCATGGGAAGCGGATGGAGGTGGGAGCAGGGAAGCAGAGGTGGCGATGGTCAGATCCAGTGGCTCCAGCGGAGCAGGGTGACAGCTCCAAGGGGATCCCATTGGGATCAGCAGTGGGAAGGGGGAATGGGGTCAGCTCTTGGCTCCATCCCTCCCAGAGGACGTCGGGATGGAGATGTGGGAATTGTCAGGGTGGGGGGGGTGGGATGGCTCCGCGTTATCCCAGCCAGGGCGGGTGGGAAGCGGGATGAGGACCCGGCACCGCGCTCGATCCCACCTGGATCCATCGTGGTCCACCTGGAGGAGGGGTTGCTGCTGGGAATGCTGTGGGATCTGGGGTGGCTTCAGCCTCCTCCTCCCCGCTGGAGCCTGGGGGTGCCACTGACCCCCCCCCCCAGCCAGGAGCAGGGCCAGGGGCTGGATCCGGCTCGGATCCCATTGGGAGCAGGAGATAAACTGGGATAAGGGGTTGGTGCTGGTGGCTTGGGCCTTCCGCACATCCCAAGGGCAGGGTGGCCTCCGGGGATGCTCAGTGCGCTTCCTCCCCTTCCTTCCTTCCTCTTTCCTCTTCCTTCCTCCTATTTCTTCCTCCTCCTTCCTCTTTCTCCCCTTCCTTCCTCCTCCTTCCTCTTTCTGCTCCTTCCTCTTCCTCCCCTTCCTTCCTCTTCCTCCTCCTTCCTCTTCCTCCCCTTCCTTTCTTTTCCTCCTCCTTCCTCTTCCTCTTTCTCCCATTCCTTCCTCTTCCTCCTCCTTCCTCTTCCTCCTCCCTCTTCCTCACCTTCCTTCCTCTTCCTCACCTTCCTTCCTCTTCCTTCTCTTTCCTCTTCCTCCTTCCTCTTTCTCCCCTTCCTTCCTCCCCTTCCTTCCTCTTCCTCCTCCTTCCTCTTCCTCCTCCCTCTTCCTCGCCTTCCTTCCTCTTCCTTCCTGTTCCTACTTCTTCCTCTTCCTCCCCTTCTTTCCTCTTCCTTCTCTTTCCTCTTCCTCCTTCCTCTTCCTCCCCTTCCTTCCTCTTCCTCCTTCCTTTTCCTTCCTCTTCTTCCCCTTCCTTCCTCTTTCTCCCTCCTTCCTCTTCCTCCCCTTCCTTCCTCTTCCTCCTCCTTCCTTTTCCTTCCTCTTCCTCCCCTTCCTTCCTTCCCCTTCCCTCTCCTCCTCTTCCTCCCGCAGCCAAGAAGAAGAACAAGAAGGGGAAGACGCTGACGCTGACGGATTTCCTGGCTGAGGACGGGGGGGGCGGCGGCCCCACCTACATCCCCAAACCCGTCAGCTGGGCCGACGAGACCGACGACCTCGAGGGGGATGGTACCATGGGATAGCGGGGTGTCCGCATGGATAATGGGATAATGGGATAACGGGGTGCCCACATGGACAATGGGATAACGGGGTGTCCGCATGGATAATGGGATAACGGGGTGCCCGCATGGATGATGGGATAACGGGGTGCCCGCATGGATAATGGGATAACGGGGTGCCCGCATGGACAATGGGATAACGGGGTGCCCGCATGGATAATGGGATAGCGGGGTGCCCGCATGGATAATGGGATAGCGGGGTGCCCGCATGGATGATGGGATAGCGGGGTGTCCGCATGGATGATGGGATAACGGGGTGTCCACATGGATGATGGGATAGCGGGGTGCCCGCATGGATAATGGGATAACGGGGTGCCCGCATGGATAATGGGATAACGGGGTGCCCGCATGGATAATGGGATAACGGGGTGTCCGCATGGATAATGGGATAACGGGGTGCCCGCATGGATAATGGGATAACGGGGTGCCCGCATGGATAATGGGATAACGGGGTGCCCGCATGGATAATGGGATAGCGGGGTGCCCGCATGGATGATGGGATAACGGGGTGCCCGCATGGACAATGGGATAACGGGGTGCCCGCATGGACAATGGGATAACGGGGTGCCCGCATGGACAATGGGATAACGGGGTGCCCGCATGGATAATGGGATAGCGGGGTGCCCGCATGGATAATGGGATAACGGGGTGCCCGCATGGATAATGGGATAACGGGGTGCCCGCATGGATAATGGGATAGCGGGGTGCCCGCATGGATAATGGGATAGCGGGGTGCCCGCATGGATAATGGGATAACGGCATAGTGGGATGCCCAGATACTGGGATAACAGGGTACCCAGGTACCAGGATAATGGGATAGTGGGATGCCCAGATACCAGAATACCCAAATACCACAATATCCGGATACTGGGATACCTGGATACCAGGATACCCAGGTACTGGAATTCCCAGATACCAGGATAATGGGATACCCAGATACTGGGATACCTGGATACCAGAATACCCAGGCACTGGGATACCCAGATACAAGGATACCCAGACACTTGGATACTGGGATATCCTGATACCTGAATACCCATATACTGGGATACCTGGATACTAGGATACCCAGGTACTGGAATAGTCAGATAACAGGATACCTGGATACCAGGATACCCAGATACTGGAATTCCCAGATACCAGGATAATGGGATACCCAGATACTGGGATATCCTGATACCAGAATACCCCTGTACTGGGATACCTGGATACTAGGATACCCAGATACTGGAATAGCCAGATCACAGGATAATGGGATACCCGGATACTGGGATAGCTGGATACCAGGATACCCAGGCACTGGAATACCCAGATAGGAGAATACTTGGATACTGGGATATCCTGATACCAGAATACCCGTATACTGGGATACCTGGATACCCAGATACCAGGATAATGGGATGCCCAGATACTGGGATACCCGGATACCAGGATACCCAGATACTGGGATACCCAGACACTGGAATACCCAGATATCAATATAGTCAGATACTTGGATACTGGGATACCCAGATACTGGGATACTTGGATACTGGGATAGCTAGATACCGAGATACCCACGTACCAGGATAACGGGATACCGGGATCCCCTGATACCAGGATAATGGGATACCCAAATACGGGGATACCAGGATAACCAGCTACCCCTGGGCACCGGGATACCCAGACCCCATGGGGCTGAAGGCAGCAGCATCACCCCTAGGGGCAGCTCCAGGGTGGGCACCATCGGTACCACGACCACCGGGATCCCCTTTGGGACGCAGCGGCTCCTCCCGGGAATGCCGATTCCCCCCCCCTCCCCAAATCCCTTTCCTGTCTCCCAGTGTCCACCACTTGGCACAGCAACGACGACGACGTGTACCGGGCGCCGCCGATCGACCGCTCCATCCTGCCCACGGCGCCGCGGGCCGCGCGCGAGCCCAACATCGACCGCAGCCGCCTGCCCAAATCCCCCCCGTACACGGCATTCCTGGGAAACCTGCCCTACGACGTCACCGAGGAATCCATCAAGGACTTCTTCCGGGGCCTCAACGTGAGCACTGGGGGTGGTGGTGGTTTTGGGGGTCCAGCAGCACCGTTGGAGCCTGGAGAAGGGGAGCTCCAGTGCCAAAAGGGGCTCCAGGATACCTGGAGAGGGGCTTTGGAGAAGGGATGCAGGGCTGGGAGGAGGTGTTTGGGCTTCCAGCTGGGAGAGGGAAGAGTTGGATGGGATATGGGGAGCTTCCTCCCCGTGAGGGTGATGGGATGCTGGAAGGGAGAAGGCTTGGATGCTCCAGCTAAAGGAGCGTCCATTGAGGCACAGGGGCTTGGAGGACCCTGCTCCAGTGGAAAGTGGGTTGGAGCTGGAGGAGCTTTAAGGTCCAACCCATCCCATTCCCCGCTTCCATGGTGGAATTCGGGAGCTCTCCCCCTTATCCCATTGCAGATCAGCGCCGTGCGCCTGCCCCGGGAACCCACCAACCCCGAGCGGTTGAAGGGCTTCGGCTACGCCGAGTTCGAGGACATCGATTCCCTGTTCCAGGCTCTGAGCCTCAACGAGGAGGTGAGGGAATTCCATGGGGATGCAAAAGGCCACGAGGGTGTCACCCCCTTCCCGCCCTCACCCCGGGATCTTCCCTCCTCCTTTGCAGTCCCTCGGGAACAGAAGGATACGAGTGGATGTGGCCGATCAAGCTCAGGATAAAGGTGAGGCCGCGGTGAGTTCCCGGCGCATCCCTGCTGCCGGCTTCCGCGCTCGGCTCCGGGCGCTGGAGCTGGAATTCCCTTTGGCCGGCAGACCGGGATGATCGCTGCTTCGGCAGAGACCGGGATCGCTTCCGGGACTCGGAGCGCTTCGAGAGCGACTGGAGAGCGCGGCCGGCGGCCACCGAGAGCTTCGAGGACTTCCCGCCCCGGCGCGGCGACGACGGCTTCGGAGACAGTGAGTGGGAAAGGGGGGTCTGGTCCGGAGGGAGAGCGGGATCTGAGCTGGGCAAAGACCGGGATCTGAGCTGGGCAAAGACTGGGATCTGAGCTGGGCAAAGACCGGGATCTGAGCTGGGCAAAGACCGGGATCTGAGCTGGGCAAAGACTGGGATCTGAGCTGGTTGGAGATCAGGATCTGGCCTGGTTGGAAACCAGGATCTGAGCTGGTTGGAGACCGGGATCTGAGCTGGTTGGAGACCGGGATCTGAGCTGGTCAAAGACCGGGATCTGAGCTGGTCAAAGACCGGGATCTGAGCTGGTTGGGGAACGGGATCTGCCCCGGTTGGGGACTGGGATCTGAGCTGGTCGGAGACTGGGATCTGAGCTGGTCAAAGACCGGGATCTGAGCTCGTTGGGGACTGGGATCTGAGCTGGTCAAAGACTGGGATCTGAGCTGGTCAAAGACCGGGATCTGAGCTGGTCAAAGACCGGGATCTGAGCTGGTCGGAGACCGGGATCTGAGCTGGTCAAAGACCGGGATCTGAGCTGGTCAAAGGCCGGGATCTGAGCTGGTCAAAGACCGGGATCTGAGCTGGTCAAAGACTGGGATCTGAGCTGGTTGGAGACCGGGATCTGAGCTGGTTGGAGACCGGGATCTGAGCTCGTCAAAGACCGGGATCTGAGCTGGTCAAAGACCGGGATCTGAGCTGGTTGGAGACTGGGATCTGAGCTGGTTGGAGACTGGGATCTGAGCTGGTTGGAGACCGGGATCTGAGCTGGTTGGAGACCGGGATCTGAGCTGGTCAAAGACCGGGATCTGAGCTGGTCAAAGACCGGGATCTGAGCTGGTCAAAGACCGGGATCTGAGCTGGTCAAAGACCGGGATCTGAGCTGGTCAAAGACCGGGATCTGAGCTGGTTGGAGACCGGGATCTGAGCTGGTTGGAGACTGGGATCTGAGCTGGTTGGAGACTGGGATCTGAGCTGGTTGGAGACCGGGATCTGAGCTGGTTGATGACCGGGATCTGAGCTGGTCAATGACCGGGATGTGCCCTGGTCAATGACTGGGATCTGCCCTGGTTGGGGACCGGGATCTGCCCTGGTCAGCGACCCGGATCTGCGCCCTCCAGGCTTCCCAGTGGCTCTGTGCCCCCCATGGGGCTGCTCCGTGTGGCTCCATGCGGGTTCCCATCCCCTCCGATCCCACCAAACCCCCTCCCGCAGGGTATCGGGATCGCTACGACGACCGGTACCGCGAGGGTCCGCGCCGGGACATGGACCGCGCCTTCGGGAGCAGGGATCGCTACGACGACCGCAGCCGGGACTACGACCGAGGTGGGGCCGGGATCCCCGTTGGGGTCTGGGGATGCTTCCCACCGGGATGGGGCCTCAGGAGCCGCTCCCGGTGCAGGCTACGACTCGCGGCTGGGCGGCAGGAGAGCCTTCGGCAGCGGGTACCGCCGGGACGAGGAGTTCCGCAGCGAGCGCTACGAGGAGCGCGGGGAGCGCTGGGCGGCGCGGGATGACTACGGCCGGGATGACTTCCGGCGCGACGACAGAGGTGATGCTGCGGGACCGGGGGGGGGGAGCAGGGGATGGGAGCTGGGATCAGTGGGGATGGGAGCTGGGATCAGTGGGGATGGGATCTGGGATCAGTGGGGTGGGGGCTGGGATCAGTGGGGGTGGGAGCTGGGATCAGTGGGGATGGGAGCTGGAATCAGTGGGGGTGGGAGCTGGGCTCCATTGGAGCAGGGTCTGGGATCACTCAGGGTGGATCCAGGCTCATTGGGATGGGAGCTGGGGTCAGTGGGGATGGGAGCTGGGATCAGTGGGGATGGGAGCTGGGATCAGTGGGGATGGGGTCTGGGGTCAGTTGGGGTCTGTGGGGTTCGGGTCTGGGATCAGTGGGGTGGGAGCTGGGATCAGTGGGGATGGGAGCTGGGATCAGTGGGGGTGGGAGCTGGGATCAGTGGGGATGGGAGCTGGGATCAGTGGGGATGGGAGCTGGGATCAGTGGGGTTCGGGTCTGGGATCAGTGGGGTGGGAGCTGGGATCAGTGGGGATGGGAGCTGGGATCAGTGGGGGTGGGAGCTGGGATCAGTGGGGATGGGAGCTGGGATCAGTGGGGATGGGAGCTGGGATCAGTGGGGATGGGAGCTGGGGTCAGTGGGGATGGGAGCTGGGATCAGTGGGGGTGGGAGCTGGGATCAGTGGGGGTGGGAGCTGGGATCAGTGGGGATGGGGTCTGGGGTCAGTGGGGATGGGATCTGGGATCAGTGGGGTTCGGGTCTGGGATCAGTGGGGATGGGAGCTGGGATCAGTGGGGATGGGAGCTGCGATCAGTGGGGATGGGAGCTGGAGTCAGTGGGGGTGGGAGCTGGGATCAGTGGGGGTGGGAGCCGGGATCAGTGGGGGTGGGAGCTGGGATCAGTGGGGATGGGAGCTGGGATCTGTGGGGATGGGAGCTGGGATCAGTGGGGTTCGGGTCTGGGATCAGTGGGGATGGGAGCTGGGGTCAGTGGGGTGGGAGCTGGGATCAGTGGGGATGGGAGCTGGGGTCAGTGGGGATGGGAGCTGGGGTCAGTGGGGATGGGAGCTGGGATCAGTGGGGTTCGGGTCTGGGGTCAGTGGGGATGGGAGCTGGGATCAGTGGGGTGGGAGCTGGGATCAGTGGGGTTCGGGTCTGGGGTCAGTGGGGATGGGAGCTGGGATCAGTGGGGGTGGGAGCTGGGATCAGTGGGGATGGGGTCTGGGATCAGTGGGGATGGGAGCTGGGATCAGTGGGGGTGGGAGCTGGGATCAGTGGGGATGGGAGCTGGGATCAGTGGGGTGGGAGCTGGGCTCCATTGGAGCAGGGTCTGGGATCACTCAGGGTGGAGCCAGGCTCATTGGGATGGGAGCTGGGATCAGTGGGGGTGGGAGCTGGGATCAGTGGGGATGGGATCTGGGATCAGTGGGGATGGGGTCTGGGATCAGTGGGGATGGGAGCTGGGATCAGTGGGGATGGGGTCTGGGATCAGTGGGGATGGGAGCTGGGATCAGTGGGGATGGGGTCTGGGATCAGTGGGGATGGGAGCTGGGATCAGTGGGGTTTGGGTCTGGGATCAGTGGGGATGGGAGCTGGGCTCCATTGGAGCAGGGTCTGGGATCGCTCCAGGTGGATCCAGGCTCACTGGGATGGGATCTGGGCTCCATTGGAGCAGGATCCAGGCTCATTGGGATGGGAGCTGGGATCAGTGGGGATGGGAGCTGGGCTCCATTGGAGCAGGGTCTGGGATCACTCAGGGTGGATCCAGGCTCATTGGGGATGGGATCTGGGATCAGTGGGGATGGGAGCTGGGATCAGTGGGGATGGGAGCTGGGCTCCATTGGAGCAGGGTCTGGGATTGCTCCGGGTGGATCCAGGCTCACTTGGGATGGGATCTGGGCTCATTTGGGATGTGGTCTGGGATCGTTCTGGGTGGAGCCCGGCTCATTGGGATGGGGTCTGGGCTCCATTGGAGCAGGATCTGGGATCGCTCAGGGTGGAACCTGGCTCATTGGGATGGGATCTGGGCTCTGTTGGAGCAGGATCTGGGCTCATTTGGGATGGGATTTGGGCTCCTTTGGGGCAGGGTTTGGGCTCCTTTGGGGCAGGGTGGAGGGCTCCTTTAGGGCAGGCTCACTTGGGATGGGATCTGGGCTCCCTTGGGGCAGGATTTGGGATCCCTTGGGCAGGATTTGGGCTCCTTTGGGGCAGGATTTGGGCTCCTTTGGGGCAGGATTTGGGCTATTTTAGGGCAGGATTTGGGCTCCTTTGGGGCAGGATTTGGGCTCCCTTGGGGCAGGATTTGGGCTCCTTGGGGCAGGATTTGGGCTATTTTAGGGCAGGATTTGGGCTCCTTTGGGGCAGGATTTGGGCTCCTTTGGGGCAGGATTTGGGCTCCTTTGGGGCAGGATTTGGGCTCCTTTGGGGCAGGATTTGGGCTCCTTTAGGGCAGGATTTGGTCTCCTTTCCTTTAGGGCAGGATTTGGGCTCCTTTGGGGCAGGATTTGGGCTCCTTTGGGGCAGGATTTGGGCTCCTTTGGGGCAGGATTTGGTCTCCTTTAGGGCAGGATTTGGGCTCCTTTAGGGCAGGATTTGGTCTCCTTTAGGGCAGGATTTGGGCTCCTTTAGGGCAGGATTTGGGCTCCTTTAGGGCAGGATTTGGGCTCCTTTGGGGCAGGATTTGGTCTCCTTTGGGGCAGGATTTGGGCTCCTTGGGGCAGGATTTGGGCTCCTTGGGGCAGGATTTGGACTCCTTTAGGGCAGGATTTGGTCTCCTTTGGGGCAGGATTTGGGCTATTTTAGGGCAGGATTTGGGCTCCTTTGGGGCAGGATTTGGGCTCCTTTAGGGCAGGATTTGGGCTCCTTTAGGGCAGGATTTGGGCTCCTTTAGGGCAGGATTTGGTCTCCTTTAGGGGAGGATTTGGACTCCTTTGGGGCACGATTTGGGCTATTTTAGGGCAGGATTTGGTCTCCTTTAGGGGAGGATTTGGTCTCCTTTGGGGCAGGATTTGGGCTCCTTTGGGGCAGGATTTGGGCTATTTTAGGGCAGGATTTGGTCTCCTTTAGGGCAGGATTTGGTCTCCTTTAGGGCAGGATTTGAACTCCTTTAGGGCAGGATTTGGGCTCAGTTGGGGCAGGATTTGGACTCCTTTGGGGCAGGATTTGGTCTCCTTTAGGGCAGGATTTGGACTCCTTTAGGGCAGGATTTGGGCTCAGTTGGGGCAGGATTTGGACTCCTTTGGGGCAGGATTTGGGCTCCTTTGGGGCAGGATTTGGGCTCCTTTGGGGCAGGATTTGGACTCCTTTGGGGCAGGATTTGGACTCCTTTGGGGCCGGATTTGGTCTCCTTTGGGGCACGATTTGGGCTCCTTTGGGGCACGATTTGGGCTATTTTAGGGCAGGATTTGGGCTCCTTTGGGGCACGATTTGGGCTCCTTTGGGGCACGATTTGGGCTATTTTAGGGCAGGATTTGGACTCCTTCGGGGCACGATTTGGGCTATTTTAGGGCACGATTTGGGCTCCTTTGGGGCACGATTTGGGCTATTTTAGGGCAGGATTTGGGCTCCATCCCTTGCCCCCCCCCATCCCCATCCCCATCCCACCTCACTCCCCTCCCTGCTCCTTGGCAGCCCCCACGCAGCGGCCGAAGCTGAACCTGAAGCCCCGGAGCGCCCCGAAGGAGGAGGAGGCGCCGGGGGGGGCCCCCGCGGCCCAGTCCGTCCGCGCCGCCTTCATCTTCGGGGGGGCCAAGCCCGTGGACACGGCGGCGCGGGAGCGCGAGGTCGAGGAGCGCCTGCAGAAGGAGCAGGAGAAGCTCCAGCGCCAGCTCGAGGACGAGAAGAGGCTCGAGAGGCGCCCGCGGGAGAGGTGGGGGCAGATCCCAGCCCTATGGGCGCCAATGGGGGTTCAGGGAGCTCCCCCCATGGACACCAATAGGTGCTCATAGAACCCCCCCATGGACACCAATGGGGGTTCAGGGAGCTCCCCCCATGGGCACCAATGGGGGCTCAGGGAGCTCCCCACCATGGGCTCCAATGGGGGCTCAGGGAGCTCCCACCATGGGCACCAATGGGGGCTCAGGGAGCCTCCACCATGGGGACACCAATGGGGGTTCAGGGAGCCCCCCCCCATGGACACCAATGGGGGTTCAGGGAGCTCCCCCCATGGGCACCAATGGGGGCTCAGGGAGCTCCCCACCATGGGGACACCAATGGGGGTTCAGGGAGCCCCCCCCCATGGACACCAATGGGGGTTCAGGGAGCTCCCCCTATGGACACCAATGGGGGTTCAGGGAGCTCCCACCATGGGCACCAATGGGGGTTCAGGGAGCTCCCACCATGGGCACCAATGGGGGTTCAGGGAGCTCCCACCATGGGCACCAATGGGGGCTCAGGGAGCCTCCACCATGGGGACACCAATGGGTGGTGCTTGACCCCCCCATGGACACCAATGGGGGGTCAGGGAGCTCCCCCCCATGGGCACCAATGGGGGCTCAGGGAGCTCCCCCCATGGACACCAATGGGGGTTCAGGGAGCTCCCCCCCCCATGGACACCAATGGGGGTTCAGGGAGCTCCCCCCATGGGCACCAATGGGGGTTCAGGGAGCTCCCCCCCCCATGGGCACCAATGGGGGCTCAGGGAGCCTCCACCATGGGGACACCAATGGGTGGTGCTTGACCCCCCCATGGGCACCAGTGGGGGCTCAGGGAGCCTCCACCATGGGGACACCAATGGGTGGTCTTTGACCCCCCCCATGGACAACAATGGGGGCCCTGGAAGCCCCCCCATGGACACCAGTGGGAGCTCTGGGAGCTCCCCCATGGACACCAATGGGTGGTCCTTGAGCCCCCCATGGACACCAGTGGGTGGTGCTTGACCCCCCCAATGGACACCAGTGGGGGTTCAGGGAGCTCCCCCCCATGGACACCAATGGGTGGTCCTTGAGCCCCCCATGGACACCAGTGGGTGGTGCTTGACCCCCCCATGGGCACCAGTGGGGGTTCAGGGGGCTTCCACCTTGGACACCAGTGGGTGGTCCTTGAGGCCCCCATGGACACCAGTGGGTGGTGCTTGACCCCCCCATGGACACCAGTGGGGGCTCAGGGAGCCCCCACCATGGGGACACCAATGGGTGGTCCTTGAGGCCCCCATGGACACCAATAGGTGCTCATAGAACCCCCCCATGGACACCAATGGGGATTCAGGGAGCCTCCACCTTGGACACCAATGGGTGGTCCTTGACCCCCCATGGCCACCAATGGGTGGTCCTTGCCCCTCCATGGACACCAGTGGGTGGTGCTGGACCTCCCCCATGGACACCAATGGGTGCTCCTGGACTCCCATGGACACCAATGAGGGCTTCTGCACCCCCTCCATGGGACACCAATGGGTGCTCCTCGATCCCCCCGTCATGGGGACAGCACGGGTGACCCCCCCCCCCCATAGGGACATCATGGGTGTCTACAGCCCCCCCCCCCATGGGGACACCATGGGTGGTGCTTTAGCCCCCTCCATGGGGACACCCATGGGTGCTCCAGTACCCCCTCTGTGGAGACACCAAAGGTGGTGCTGGACCTACCCCATGAGGGCATCATGGGCATGGACACCAATGGGTGCTCACAGAGCCCCCATCATGGACACCAATGGGTGCTCACAGAAGCCCCATCATGGACACCAATGGGTGCTCACAGAGCCCCCATCATGGACACCAATGGGTGCTCACAGAAGCCCCATCATGGACACCAATGGGTGCTCACAGAAGCCCCATCATGGACACCAATGGGTGCTCCTAGACCCCCCCTGCTCCATGGGGACACCCATGGGTGCCCTGACCCCCCCATTCCCGGCACAGGCACCCCAGTTGGCGCAGTGAGGACAACCAAGAGCGCTCGAGGACGGGCAGTGAATCCTCCCAGAGCGGCCCCCCCGGCACCGCCGCGGGCACCGGCCCCACCGGCAGGAGTGAGTGCATGGGGGGGACGGTTGGGGGGGGTCCCACCACATCACCAGCACCCGTGACCCACGTGTGGGCCCCCCCACAGCCACCCGGAGGAGGGAGAGCGAGAAGTCCCTGGAGAACGAAGCTTTGGCCAAAGAGGAGGAGGCGCCGTCCCCCCCCGGCCCCAAGGCCAAGGAGGAGAAGCAGCCGCTGAAGGTGATGCCCGCGCCGCCCCCCAAGGAGAACGCGTGGGTCAAGCGGAGCAGCCACCCCCCGGCGCGGTCCCAGAGCTCCGACTCGGAGCAGCACTCCCCAACCAGGTGGGTGCCGCGGGGCCGGCTCCGGGTCAGCCCCAGGAGCGAGCTCTTGGTGTTCTCCTTCATCCCCCGTTGATGTTCTCCATCATCCCCCACTGATGTTCTCCATCATCCCCCACTGATGTTCTCCATCATCCCCCACTGATGTTCTCCTTCATCCCGCGTTGATGTTCTCCTTCATCCTCCACTGATGTTCTCTTTCATCCCCCACTGATGTTCTCTTTCATCCCCCCTTGATGTTCTCCATCGTCCCCCATTGATGTTCTCCTTCATCCTCCACTGATGTTCTCCATCATCCTCCACTGATGTTCTCCTTCATCCCCCGTTGATGTTCTCCTTCGTCCCCCGTTGATGTTCTCCATCGTCCCCCGTTGATGATCTCCTTCATCCCCCGTTGATGTTCTCCTTCGTCCCCCATTGATGTTCTCCTTCGTCCCCCGTTGATGTTCTCCTTCGTCCCCCATTGATGTTCTCCTTCGTCCCCCGTTAATGTTCTCCTTCATCCTCCACTGATGTTCTCCATCATCCCCCACTGATGTTCTCCATCGTCCCCCGTTGATGTTCTCCTTCGTCCCCCGTTGATGTTCTCCTTCATCCCCCGTTGATGTTCTCCTTCATCCCCCGTTGATGTTCTCCTTCATCCCCCGTTGATGTTCTCCTTCGTCCCCCACTGATGTTCTCCTTCGTCCCCCACTGATGTTCTCCATCACCCCCCACTGATGTTCTCCTTCATCCCCCGTTGATGTTCGTTCTCCTTCATCCCGCATTGACGTTCTCCGTCATCCCCCATTTACGTTCTCCTTCATCCCCCGTTGATGTTCTCCTTCATCCCCCACTGATGTTCTTCATCCCCCGTTGATGTTCTCCATCACCCCCCGTTGACGTTCTCCATTGCCCCCCATTGACTCTCTCCATCATCCCCCATTGATGTTCTCCTTCATCCCCCATTGATGTTCTCCATCATTCTCCACTGATGTTCTCCTTCATCCCCCATTGATGTTCTCCATCACCCCCCATTGACTCTCTCCATCACCCCCCATTGACTCTCTCCATCACCCCCCATTGACTCTCTCTCCATCACCCCCCATTGACGCTCTCCATCACCCCCCATTGACGTTCTCCATCACCCCCCCATTGACTCTCTCCATCACCCCCCGTTGACGTTCTCCATCGCCCCCCATTGACGCTCTCCATCGCCCCCCATTGACGTTCTCCATCATCCCCCCCCATTGACGCTCTCCATCACCCCCCATTGACTCTCTCCATCACCCCCCATTGACTCTCTCCATCACCCCCCATTGACTCTCTCCATCACCCCCCATTGACTCTCTCCATCACCCCCCATTGACGTTCTCCATCACCCCCCATTGATGTTCTCCATCACCCCCCATTGACGTTCTCCATCACCCCCCATTGACGTTCTCCATCACCCCCCATTGACGTTCTCCATCATCCCCCCCCATTGACGTTCTCCATTGCCCCCCATTGACTCTCTCCATCATCCCCCATTTGACTCTCTCCATCCCCCCCATTGACTCTCTCCATCACCCCCCATTAATGTTCTCCATCGCCCCCCATTGATGCTCTCCATCACCCCCCATTGACTCTCTCCATCATTGACGTTCTCCATCGCCCCCCATTGATGTCTCTCCATCCATCGCCCCCCCCCCCATTGACTCTCTCCATCACCCCCCATTGATGTTCT